TGGTGCCTGCCTGCTCTGTCCCCAGTGATGGGCATTGGGTCCTCTTGATCCTCTGTGTTGAGAAAAGACTGGTCCTGAGGCCTGGCCTCCACTCCTGGAGGGAATAGATGGACGTGCAGGAGGGGAAGGACCCAAGTGCCCGCTTCGTCACTTGCTAGCTCATCTAGCCACTTGCCTCCCTCCGTTCCTCGTCCATGTGGTGTCTACTGCACAGGGCTGCTTGGAGGCACAGAGCCCCCGTGTGAACCCCTCAGAAGCAGAAGTCAGGGCACAGCAGCGCCCCTGGCAGAGTGGAGCCCCCGGTAGAGCCCCAGCCAGTGCTGAACTGGAAGGGCATGGAAAGAACGGGTGACAAAGGGCTTTGTGAAATTCGCACAGCCCCTATCGTAGCCTCTGCAACCTCTCGTTTTGAGTGGTTCCCACTGGTCAAGCATCGAGCCAGCTCATATCACATTTCCAGTCCTTATAAAGATCTTATACATTAGAAGGAATTGGCACCATCCTATAGAAGAAGAAACCGAGGTTCAGAGCATGAAGGGATTTGACCTGGTCATGCAGCCAGAAAGTGACCCCATGGCCGGGGAGGCCAGCACACCCCTATGTTGGAAGCCTTCTTCGGAGTCAGGAAAGGGGGAGGGGAACTGGTGGGAGGGGCCATCTGGTAGGACCCGTGCTTATTTCAAGTTGCTTATTAGAATGGACACGTTAGACTCCAGTCCTGGGTTTCAGTGTTTCAGTTTTAAAAAATGGCCTGGGTGAAAAAGAAAAAAAATGGCCTGGGTGGATGTTAACTCCTTTTGTTGCATTCTTCCAGTGTTACTTGTATCAGGGCTTGGGTTTTCTCTCTCTTTTTTTTTTTTTTTTTTTTTAGTGTTAAGCTTTTAAAAGTCATTACAGCAGATTAGTCCTCTCCAGGGTCCTGTAAAAACCTGCTTTCTACCCTGTGGTTACGCAGCCAACTCGTGCTTCCTGGTGTTGAGAAATAATTCATTATCTGCATTGCTGTTTCTCCAAGTTTTTTGCTCCACTCCCTTCTGAGATCTCTCTCTCTCTTTTTTTTATAGTCTGGCATACATTTGAGGTTGTTATTTTATGACAGAAGGATTCCTGCTGATTTTACTCATGGCAGTCAGTCGGTACCTACCATTTTTCTCTCCCTACCTCACTTCCTTCCCATCCTCTTTTTCTCTTTTTAAAAAATATTTAATTAATTTATTTTTAAAGAGAGGGGAAAGGAAGGAGAGAGAGAGGCAGAGAAACATCAGTGTATGGTTGGCTCTCACGTGCCCCCCTACTGGGGACCAGGCCCTTTGCCCTGACTGGGAATGGAACCTGCGACCCTTTCTTGCACAGGCCCACGCTCAGTCCACTGAGCCACACCAGCCAGGGCTCCCTTCCTCTCTTTTTCCTTTGATTTCTTAACCACCCGATCATTCTTTTGTATGATCCATTCTTTTGTATGATCCATCCTTTCTAAAGGAAGGCTTTGCTTATTGAAAAAGATGAAAATGATGCTGTAATAATAGTGATAAGCATGAAGACCACCTTCTACTTTATTGAGCATTGACTAGGCACCAGACACTGCTTACTTATACAACCCTCACAGCAGCCCTATGGGGGGAGCATTTTAGCCTCTTTTTATAGACAAGGAAACTGGGGTGCAGAGAAGCTGGTTTCTCCCAGGCCACAACAAGGGAGAAATCGTCGTCCCATTGCATTCCCAACCCAAGGCTGTGTTCAGACAGAGAGCGTTGGTGTGTCCCAGGGGTGATTTTTAAAAGCCACACTTGGCCCGAACGCACGGGCACATACGGGGCAGGCCATCCCGCAGGCCAGTTCCCAGCAGGGGATGCATGAAAGGCAACCATACATCGATGTTTCTCTCTCTCTCCTTACCTTCCCCTCTGAAGATAAATAAATAAATCTTAAAATAAATAAATAAATAAATAAAAGCCACACTTGGGATTGTTTTGTGAACATTCTGCCCCCTTTAGATGGGAGAATTTGCAGGAGGAGGGTTTAGTTGAGGAAGGCGGGCATTCTCAGGGCTCTCGTCCTTCAAAACGGGCCTTTTCGCAAACTGAGCCTCGAAGCACGTGTGCACACACAGCACCCCCACATGCCCGCGATTAGTAAATGATTCATTGCCACCAGTGGTAATTCGAGTGCCTCCCATTTGAACTCTGTAACCCAGGACTCTTAAGGTAATCTGCCCCCGTGAACTTCATAATGGAACCTCATTACCCAGCTATTGTGGCGGGGGGGGGGGTTGAATTGGAAATGGAACCTCCCCCAGCCAGGTGCCTGGCCTGTGATGCAGGCCACCCAGCCTTCCTTTTTTTTTTAAATTTAAATATTTCATTTATTTATTTTTAGAGAGGGGGGAATGGGAAGGAGAAAGAGAGGGAGAGAAACATCAATGTGTGGTTGCCTCTCGGGTGTCCCCTACTGGGGACCTGGCCCGCAACCCAGGCATGTGCCCTGACTGGGAATCAAACCAGAGACCCTTTGTTTCACAGGCGCATGCTCAATCCACTGAGCTACACCAGCCAGGGCCTGACCTTCCTTTTTGAAATAAGCACCCAGGGCTGAGTTCGGTGTTCCCCCCATTCTGAATCATGCAGCCCGAAATGGAAGCTGTGCATCTTAAAAACAGAACGCTTTTTGTTCTAGGATGAAAAATACCCCTGAGAGGCGATGAGAGGGTGGGCGATTTGGTCACCTGGTTAGCTGCCCAAGGCCAGGACATCACCTGTCATTGGAGATGGCTGTCTGAAGGGGCAGCTCACACAGCAGAATGTCCAGACGTGCGTTGTGGCCTAGCTCGGAGCGTGCCTGGCTGAGGCCTTCCAACCACGCTGAAGCCAGAAAAAGAGGAAGCGAGTGGTTCTGTGTGGCGCGTGGTGACTGCTGGCATGGGGGAGAGCTGCTTGCTGCCTGGGCCATCGGAGCTGGGCCATCGGAGATCCAGGCAGGAAGTCCTGGGTGCCTCTCCACCAGCCGGAATGGTCACAGAGGTCGTGCACAGAATGCTTGCTCGGCGCCTGTCTCCTCTTGTTCTGCAGGTGACGCTGACATAGGTGGCTGTTTGTTTTCCAAGTCTGTAGCAGAAACCTAGCAGGGAGAGGTGACCGTCAACTGCCAAGGGTTTTTTTTTTTTTTTTAAATACACAAAGCTTTCCTAAAAACCTGAAGACATGCCATGTAAAGCCACTTAGTGAAGGGCTGAGGGCAGCCTGTGACATTGCTGGGTCACACCTTTATCATCATTCCTATTTTCGATGACGGCCCTGTTTAGCAAACCACAAATGGCTTGCTGTACGAAAGCAGGGACAGTTTGGTTCTGTTGTGATGAGTCCTCTCCAGAACGGTGCTACTAGAGAAGGTTGGTGAGTTCATAAAATTCGGTAGATGGAAAACATGCGTCTTAATTTCATTTTCTTTCTGGTACTGAGGTTAGGTGCCTTCATTTCTTCTGTGGATTGCCCATTTCTCTAGAGGGTTGGGGTTTTTTTTCTTGCTGATTTCTGAGCTCTTTACACACAAACCAGCCTTGCGCCCTATCAGTTTGTTGTTTGGCGTCAACTGGTGACGGGACTTCCCCAGATACAAGGTTTCTGGGTTTTGCAATCAGGTTTATTGATCTTTTTCTTGTGCCTCCGGGGCAAAAGAGCAGGCTTAGGAAAACCTGTACGGAACAGAAGGGGCCATTTGCCACACATTCCAGACAACCAAGGCTTTGTGTTTAGAATCCGTGCCTGAGAGCTTGTCCCACCAGGATGGTAGAATCCTATCTGATGGTTTTTTTTGTTTTCTGTTTTTACTTGGTCTGTTTTTGAGAGCTCTTCCTGGAGGCAAGATGAGGAGCTAGAAAACCATCCCAGTCCAAACCCCCTCCCTTTCTCCCTCCCTCCCTCCCGGCATGTTCTGGGTGGCATCTTAAAGAGCATGTTTTGCTGGCAATAGAAAGAAACAGGTTTGGGGAAACTGTAAAACTGGTCAAACTGGAAGAGCAATATCGGGGCCTGGCCGTGCTCTGTGGGAAAGGTGGGGGGGGCTGGATAATTGGCTGGATATGTGTCACGGGGTGTCCGGAGCAGGGCCCAGCTTGAGTTTACACTATTAGAAAGGCCACCGTGTGTTTAGGGACTAAAATCGTCTTCTGCTTTTCCTTGTTTTTTATTGACTTCACCCAAACAGATGGAAATATTCTAGAAAGAAAGGCGAGGGGGCAGCGGAACCAGCCTTGGCGCTCGCTGTCTGTGTGCCTGGCTCTCGCTCTGTGGCCCTGGGCAAGTTGCTTGGCTTTTCTGGGCTTGGTGGCCTTGGGCTGCACCAAAGACACACAGGAGTCCAGAACCTTCGGTGGGCCACGCTGAAACGGGTGTCAGCCCAACTGCACCCGGAACCCCTCCTGTTAAGGGACCTGAGCCCAGTGTGGTTACATCCCTTGTCCAGAGTCACATCGGAGTTGAGATGCGAACCCAGGCCCGGCTGACTCGGGAGCAGCACAGGGCTTCTCCCCTAATCAGGTGGCCCGTTTACAGGTGCGCCGGCTCTGACTTCAGTGTGCAGGAGTGTGTGGTGAGGCGCCTCTCCTGCTGGCGACCTCCTCCGGACTCAGCAGAGAGCTGGATTCTGGGGTCCTGCCACCCCGCTTATTCTTCTCTGCTTCTGCTCCACTCCCAGTCCCAGAAGTACGCGTTTGTCCCCACACCCCCATCCCACAGTTGAGCAGCCGCTCTGTCCCTGTGTGGTGGCCACAACACACAATACAGCTGCCATCCGGCCAGCTCCTGCTGACCACAGTGGCCTCGTGACCCATGTAGTGCACTGTCAGGAAAACAAAAAACAAAAAGCCTTTCTCCCCACCGCCAGGGCATGGTCGCTCGGATCTGCTGTTTTCAGAGCCAGGAAAGCCAAGACAGCATTTTTCTGCATCTCAGACTGACCACTGGGGTGCAGACTGACGTGCGCGCTGACTGACCTGAGTCACTGGGAAGAGCTGAGAAACTGCTTGCATGGTAGACGGCGGGCTGCTCCCCAGCCCTGGCTCCGCACCTTCTCCGGGAGCAGCAGTCATCACGGCCAGAGCTCTGAGCGCCCCCACTATGCGTAGGACACCCTCCCGCCCTCATGGCAGCCCCCAGAGCCCTACAGGCGATGTCCCTCACACACGGGAACCAAGGTCCAAGCCCCTTCCCATAGCCTCTGCCGTCTTGATTAATGGGTGGTTAGAAGTAGCACACTGGGTCAGTCTGAACTGTGAGAAGTGGATCGAGCAACTGCCTGGCAGGAAATACGCCTCTAGAGTCACGTTCTGCACTATACAGTAAGCACCCACTGGGGACACAGCCCACTGGGGCCAGGGCACCTGGGATCAGATGGCTCAGGCGGCCGGTAGCCTCGGCCCAGCGCCTTGGGGCAGCTGCTCGTGGCCACCCTGGGGGAGGGTTCCAGCGTGGCCTCCTCCTGGGAGATTTGCTCCCAGTCGTGGAGAAGAGAGTGCTCACGGCTCAGCCTGAGGATCCTGTACCAGGAGACCCAGTCCCAAGGAGTGGCCTCGGGAAGGAGAGTAGGGGTGTCGGGGGCTGCAGGCTGAGTGTGTTCCCACTCGGTGGAAACTCTGGGGGACCCGGGAGCTCCCATGCACAGCCTGGTGACACCTGGGTGACATTTGCTGGACCACGGAGTCTGAGCCTCATATGAAGTCACAAAAATAACTACAAAGTCTATTTGTTCAGTGTGCATACCTGGTGCTCTGCTAAACAAATTCAGTGCACAATTTTTAATTTGTACAAGCTTGTGAAACAACTACTGTTACTGCCCCTTTTAAACTTGGTTGTGTGAGAAGGCACAGTGTTTCCACCTACGCCTCCATCTTGGCGGAAGTCATGTCACTGCCCCTTTGCCATGTGGGGAAACTGAGTCACACAGGCCAGGAGACTTGCTCAGCCGGGGAGCAGTCGGGCCAGGAGTCCAGCCTGGGCTGTCCCTAACCCGCCTTTGCATTCAGTTATGGGCTATTTCATTTATAATGTCTAGTGCTGTTTCTCCACTGTACCTCTTTGCACAGCTGTGATTAGAATGTCCCAGATGGCTGTCCAGGTGTGCTGGGCCACCTTGGATGGAATTCAGCCTGTAGGTGTCCTTCTATCCTCAGTTCCTGTGCACCAGGGCCCCTGGCTGGCCTGTGGGCAAGAGAAAGTGGGCACTGACGTTTACTTCTGTGGGTTTGGGACCCACAGTGGCATCTGTGTCCCCTGGGCTCTGGGTACCACAGGGAGGACAGTGAGCAGGGGTTGCCTGTGTTCGGGCTCTGAGGGTGGAGCCCACACCGAGCCACCCAGGAGAGGGCTGGCCGTTCCCTGTTGGGTGCCTCTGCCCTCTGGGCCCTGAGCACGGAGCTCTGACCTGTGGGATGTGGATGTCTCTGGCCCATGAGCCTGGTGGGTCGCAAAGGAGGCAAAGGATCAGAGGCAGGTCACAGGCTGCTTGCATTTGACGTGGAGCCGAGAGTTCCAGGCATGGCCAGGTTCTAGGCCTACATTTCATTCACTCAAACTCATCCCCCATTTCAGGATGCTCTGGTGTTCTATGAGCTGCCAAGAAATAAAGATAGGGCACTGGCTGGGTAGATCGGTCGGTTGGAGTGTAGTCCCAATCAATGTTTCTCTTTCTCCCCTCCTCTCTCTCTAAAAGCAATGAAAAAATGTCCTTGGATTAGGATTAAAATAAAAGAACCAATGAATGCATAATTAAGTGGAACAATAAATTCTCCCCCCGCCTTCCTCTCTCTCTCTAAAAATCATAAATTAAAAAAAAAAGAAATGAAAAATACCTTCAACTGAGAACATTCCTATTGCAGAGATGCACAAAATATGTGTCCCGGGAGCGGATCGTTTTAAGTCGCCCTCACAGCACCTCTGTGATTGGTCCTGGTGTCCCGTTTGCCAGATGGGACAGTTGATGCTCAGAGGGTGAAGGGATTCACCCCCCAAGCCCACACGACCGGAGCGTGCAGAATGGGGTGGGTGTCTAGGCCAAGTTCACGCTCTGTTAAGTGACTGATTCTCTTGCTGGTGTATTCTCTTAGGCTTTTATGCAGAGTCTCAGGACCATGGAGCCTCGGGGTCATCAGCTCATTTCTTCCGTATAAGCTGGTGATTGCGAAGGTCCTCTTTAATAAATCTGGTCCCTCTTCTCCCACCTCATAAGATTCCTCAGTCCGCCTCCAGGCCAGCTGGCTAATTTGCAGTGATCTGCCTTGTTGGCCAAGATGGGGTTTTCAGACCATTAGTTCTGCGAGATACGTACGACACAGCTATGCTGTCCAATACGGTAGCCACTGGCCACATGTGGCTCTTTAAATTCAAATGAATGAGAGTTAAATAAAATTACAAATTCAGTTGCTCCGTCCGGCCGCCCACATTCCAAGGGCTCAGCGGCTCCCTGCAGCCGACGGCGCAGATACAGAACGTTTCCGTCACTGCTGTGAGTTCTGTGGGACAGCTCAGTTCTCGTGCGGAGGGCGCTGCGGACTGAGGAGTTTGCCGCTCCCCAGGGTGTTCCAGTCGAATTGCAAAGGCTCTGACGAGACCTGCCGTGGGAATCTGGTCTCGCCAGGAGCCAAGCACGCCAAGCGTACTTGCCCAAGGACATTTTTACTCCTATAAACAGCTCTGCCTTTCCTTAAACACGTCGAGGGATCCCCCCTCCTGACCACAGGCCTCCGTGGCCCTTTCTGGGGATCTAATGCCTCGTATCGTTTTCTCCCCAGACTGCCTGGGGTCCCCGGTGTTTACGCCCATCAAGTCGGACATAAGTGGCAACATCACGGTACGTACTTGGCCCAGCAGCTGTGACCCAGGCATCCCATCAGGAATCTAAACCTGCCCCGAGTCACCGAGACCCTGCCCCCTGCCTTAAGCCTCCTGGGCTGAGGGACGGGAAGGGGACATGGAAGACAGCCTTGGCCTCCAGCTCCCCTGAATCGGGGCTTGAGGCTGTTGGTCCCAGTGTGAGGTCACGCCAGCCAGTCACAGCCTGACTGGGACCCCAGTCTGAGGGTTGACCTAGAAGGAGCCCACTGGTTCTTGTATCCACCCCCCACACCCCCAAATAGCTAAACTCTCAGTCCATGGTGCGCCGGCCCAGCCCTTCCCGCCCCCCCCCCCCCCGTCCAGGAGTGCCCGGTGCACCCCCCAGCATCTGAGCCTCTCTCCCCGCAACGACCCTCTTAGGGCCCAACCCAGGCCTAGGCCACACTGCAGCCTTTGAGCCTGGCTCTGTTGTCATTCCTGCTTTACAGATGAGGAAGCTCAGAGAGGTTGAAGGACTCAGCTGAGGTCGCACAGCAGGGAAGTGGCTTAGGTGGGGTTCAGGCCCAAACTGCCCGGCTCCACTCAGATGCCTTCTCCTAGAGCCTCTGAACCCTCAGAGTGTCTTTCCACTGGTCTGCACAAGCGAAACTTCAGGTGCTTGCTGTCGGAGGTGCTGCCCCCACAGCCAGCCCGGGCAGGAGCCGCTCCGGTACCCATGCAGACTGGTACCAGCTGTGTCACCTTGGGCACCACACTGCCCCTTGTAGTGTCAATTCCCTCACCTGCAAATGGGGACGGTGACAGAGCAACATCAGGGCCACTGTGAGCATCAGGGACAGCAGCGCCCGTGAAGCACTTGGCACGTCCCGCGCGTGGCAGGTGCTGATACGTGTGAGCGGTCCCGGTAGTTACCGCTACAACAAGCCCGGTGACCGTCCTCGGCGCTGGCAGAGCGCCCCTCCACCCAGGCTGCTGGCCGCTCGCCTGCGGGCTCCGCCTTTCCAACGAGAAACCCCGTGTGCTCCGTTTCAGAAAATCAAAGCTGTGTACGACACCGACCCGACCAAGTTCCGGACCCTGCAGAACATCCTGGAGGTGGAGAAGGAGATGTACGGGGCGGAGTGGCCCAAAGTGGGGGCCACGCTGGCGCTGATGTGGCTGAAAAGGTGATGGGCCTGGGTGGCAGGGCGTGTGGCTGTGGGTCCCGGGCGCCTGCGCGGCCAAGGAGGCATCCTTCCCTGCCCCTGCCCCACTGCGTCCGCTCTGGTGGGGAAGGACCTGCACTTCGTTCCTTTCACACGGCGCTTTTCTTCCTCTGTGCTTGTTGGTGACTGGGAACAAGCAGCCCAGGGGCCAAGGCCCGCCTGCTGGTGACAGTCCCCTGTCCCAGTCTGGTCAGAGGCAGAGCAAGCTAGCACACCCTCTGGGCCTGTGCTTGGCTCTTTTTGGTTTGTTTGTTTAATTGATTTCTTAGAGAGAGGGAGGGAGAGGTCGATTTGTTGTTCCACTTTTTAAAAAATTGTAATTTATTTTTAAAATGTTACATGTCTTTTTAAAAAATTTCCCCTGCTTAAAAAAAAAAAAGACATTATTTATTTATTTTCAGACAGAGGGGAAAGAAGGGAGAAAGACAGGGAGAGAAACATCAATGTGTGGTTGCCTCTCACATGCCCCTAACTGGGGACCTGGCTTGCAACCCAGGCATGTGCCCTGGGAATCAAACTGATGACCTTGCAGCTCACAGGCCGGCACGCCATGCGCTGAGCCACACCAGCCAGGGCTGTTGTCCCCCTTACTTATGCATTCATTGTTTGCTTCTTGTATGTGCCCCAACTGGGAGGAGGTTGATTCTGCATCTTTAGTGTATCGGATTGGCGTTCCAACCCACTGACCTACCCGGCCAGGACTGTGCTGAGGTCCTTATAAGACTGATCACATTTCACGTGCTGTGAGTCAGACGTGGTGCGGCCCCCATCTCTCTGAGGAGGCCCCTGAGCCTTCTGGAGGCCAAATCATGTGCCCAGGTCACCAGGTAGACCCAGGTACGCTGCCCAGAGACACCTGGTCTGGGCCGGTCACGTCATGCACGTGGTGCATTTGTATGTTTTGACAGCTTGTTGACAGAAACGCAGCGTCTCTGTAGTTTGCACAGGTTCATCCTGTGGGCTGGAGGCAGGGTCCCCGAGGAGGGATTTGCACCCAGATGACCTGACCCCAGAGTTGACAGTGCTCGTAGCCACTACACTTACTGTCCTGGCACAAACACTCGCATCCCCGTGTGGTTGTCGCCGTTTCACAGATGAGGCCCCCGAGGCTCCGAGAGGCCAGGCAGCTCTCTTGCTCAGCTCGCACTGCTCTCCACCGGCCACAGAATTCTCCTTTAGCTGTGCAAATGCTGCAGCCCGGCAGCCGCTCCGAAGCCCACAACCCGTTCCCTGCCCCCCAGGGGTCCCAGTGTTGCCTCTCTCTAGGGCCTGGAGCCGCGAGGGGTGCCCCTCCCTGTCCTCGCCCCCACCCCAGACTAACCCCCCAACATGCACTTGTTAGGTAAAATGTGGGTGTGGCCACGTGGGCATCCGAGAAGGTAGCCTGTTGTTAACACCCGTACAGCATGTTTTAGAATTGCCCCACCAAGGTACTACCTTTGTCAGGCAGGGAGAGCCACAGACCCAGAAGCAGGAACGCCCCTGGGCCACCCATCGCAGGCACGTGGGTCTCAGAGGAGCAGAGCGGAGGGTGACATTCTGATCAGATTGTTGGAGTCCACATCGGGCGTGGGCGGAGCCAGGCTGCTGGGAGGGCAGGTGCAGGCGGACGCCAACAAGTGGAGCACGTAGTGAGCGCCTGCTGTGTGCTGCCCGGGGTGCAGGCCGAGCGGGGCGCCACGTCACATGAGGCACAGACCCTCCTAGGGTATCGCCGTCTGGGCAGGGTGTCAGGCTGGTGGGTGGATCCCGACAGCAGGATATCAGAGCCTGGAGCAGAGAGGGCAGGAGGGCTTCCTGGAGGAGGGTGGCCGAGCAGAGTCTCCAAGACATAGCAGGAGGGTCCCAGGCAGACTAGGCCTTGCAGAGGCGGGAGGGCAGAAGAGGCCTGTTGTGTCCGAGGACATGAGCGAATGGTCCTGGGCCCTACATCCCGGGAGGCACCGTGTTCAGTGGCTGCCACCAAGCTTCGTGTGAACAAGGAGCATGGGCGATGCTCTGTTGAGCCCGAGGTCACATGACATGGGAGCCGGTGTAAAGATGGAATCAGGGAATTCCACTCCCTTCCGCGTATGTGTGTATTCCTGGCACCCAGCAGGCGCCCCGATTCAGAGGAGTCGGGGCCTGCGGTGCGCAGGGGCTGCTGGCCGGTCCGCAGGCAGCAGCGGGCAGTGTCCTAAAGAGCTTCTGTCTTCCCTCCGGGCGCAGAGGCCTCCGATTCATCCAGGTCTTCCTCCAGAGCATCTGTGACGGCGAGCGGGACGAGAACCACCCCAACCTCATCCGTGTCAACGCCACCAAGGCCTACGAGATGGCACTGAAGAAGTACCACGGCTGGATCGTGCAGAAGATCTTCCAGGTGAGCCGGGAGGGCCGGGCTGTCCCTGGGCTGGAGGATCCGCTCCCTGCTCTGCCGCTCCTCAGCTGTGGCCACTCGGAGCCTGCGCTTGTCCCCCAGGCTCAGGAAGGGCTCCCCTGTCCCTGCGGGGGGACTGGTGCACTGAGGGAGGGGCCCCATCGGTGGCCATGGAGGAGCCATGCTAGGTTCTCCCTGGTGCCCTGTCGAGGCACCTCATCCTAGGGAGCCTGATCGGGGGGCCGTGGGAGAAACCCGGTCTGGACTCTGAGGGCTCAGGGGGATGGTGGGCTGGCGTGATTGGCCCCTCGGATTCAGCCTAGATCCTCACTGTGAGCAGTGTGGGAGGGGGTGCAGAGCCCAGGGGGGCATCTGCTGAAAGGAAACTGGTCCACGGGGCTCTCGGTGGCTTCTGTTGGGGTGACATTGGCCATTGTTCCTGGAAACAGGCTCAAACACCAGCCTTGTTACTTGAGGGGCCCCGGGGTCACCAGGCTCGGAGGCCCCGCTGGGAGATGTTCGGAGGCCCTCAGGGCGCCCCGCACCGTCACAGGCCGCCCTGCGTCTCTCGGCCTCTTCATCCACCCAGCCTGTCATGACCAACCCTCCTTCTGCAGCTCCCTCGCCCGCGCAGTCTCACTCCCAAAGCTGGGGTTTCATGGGCCGGCCTCTTTCCACGCTGGACAGGCCATGGGCAGGAGAGCCAATCACCAGGCAGGAAATAGGGGCACCTCTCGGCCGTGTGCCCTGGCTGGACACAGGGCCCATCCCCGTGGGAACCTCCCGCTGCCCCCAAGGACCTTGCAGCCGCCCCCTCAGCAGTGGCGGCACACCCGTGGTGTATGATCTTCACCAGTGCACCACGAGGCGGGTGCTTCCCTTACCCCCATTTCACAGATGAAGAAACTAAGGCTCAGAGAGGTTATCTCGCTGGAGGTCACCCAGATGGGAGCTGGGATCTGTGCCCTGAGCCTCAGTGTCCTCGCCTTTCTTTCAGGGGGTGGGTGAGAAGCAGGCCCTGCCTCAAAGGGTCATCGTGAAAGGAAACGAGTTAATCCGTGTCACGTGCTCTGCATGTGGTTCACACTCTGTGTACCGAAGCTAAAGCTGCTTCTTTTCGTAATGACACGACAATTATTTGTCACTTCCTCGCCTCTCAAACTTGTAGCATGTTTTCCCTCTGGCTCTCAAATTCTCTAATTTTCCACTTCTCTGGACTTTTCAAGTGGCAGGGAGGCCCTGAAATTTAGGCGAGTGTCACCCCCTAAAGGACAAAAGGGGTCACAGATTTAGCGGCCCTCTCCCCTGTGCAGAAAGTGGGTTTTCTGAAGAAGCTGTTTACCTTCGCAGAGCAGGCTAACCCATGGTGGGCACCTACTGTGTGCCTGGTGCTGTGCCGAGCACCTACTGTGTGCCTGGTGTTGTCCTGAGCACCTACTGTATGCCTGGCACTGTGCTGAGTACCTACTGTGTGCCTGGCACTGTGCTGAGTACCTACTGTGTGCCGGGCTCTGTGCTGAGCACTTTGCACAACGTTAATCCTCACAAGAGCCACCCAGTTAGAAGGGTGCCATGATAATGCCCATTTTACGGATGAGGAAGCCGAGGCTCAGAGAAGCTAAGTAACTTGCTCAATGCCCACAGCTAGCGACTCCTTCCTGCTGTCCCTCACGGGGGTATAGAAGGGAACACACGTCACCCTTTGCCTTCTCCTTTCCCTTCCAATGCCATGGATAGCACAGCCCCCTGGCCAACAGGGCCCTCGGGGACATGCCCTCCCAGAGCCAGCGCCCCGCGCCTGGCCTGGGGAGCCGGGCCCCTAACACCGCTGTCTCTCCTCCCACCCGTCTCAAGGCAGCGCTGTATGCAGCGCCCTACAAGTCCGACTTCCTGAAAGCGCTCTCCAAGGGGCAGAACGTGACAGAGGAGGAGTGCCTGGAGAAGGTCCGCCTCTTCCTGGTCAACTACACGGCCACCATCGACGTCATCTACGAGATGTACACCAAGATGAACGCCGAGCTCAACTACAAGGTGTAGGCGTGCCCAGCGGCGGCCACGCCGGGCCGCCTGCTGCCCCGCTCACCGCCACTCGCAGAAACAGACAAACCCGAATCACTGTGAATCCAGCTGGCGGGCCACCCCCTGGCCTGTGCCCCCAGAGCGGCCCAGAGCCTGGCTGGGGTCTGCAGGGGAGGGCCTCGGTTTGGTACAAGTCATTTTTAGGGTGTCTACCCTAAGGGAGCAATAAGTAACTACCCCACTTCCAAATCACCTTTGAATTTCACAGCAGCACAGACTGCTGTGCCTTCATTTCAGTGTGGTAAAAATCAATTAACGTTGCTAATGAATCAAGTCCTAGGGTGTTTGGTTCCCCCCGACGTGGGGTGCATGTCGGGGGGAGTCCCGTCAGGCCATACACCTCACTTTAAACAGGAGGATCCGGCGCAGTGATGCTTGGGTGTTTTAAGGACCACAAGGAGTTTGATTTGAAATTATTCAAGACCCTGTTGTGGATTTTTTTTTCTTTTTTTTGAGCAAACTGGTGAGTGTTCTCGTGTGGCTGCGCCGGCCTCACGGCCTTGTCACCCTAGACCCTACTCTTCCTGTCTTTTTCCAGACAGGTTTTTATAGCTGAAAACAACCAGCAAGCCTTTGATAGCTATGACCAAGGGGACTTTATGTCACAGCTGTCGGGCACAAACAGTTGACCAGAGATGACGGGATTTGCGTTCTTCTGCGTAATTGTTTTCTTCAGGGACAGCCCTTGCAACCTGAGAAACTGCCCACCCTGTGTGTTTTCTCACGGGGGAGGCCACGAGCCCCCCGGATGCTGAGACCCCAGGAAACGCCTCGCTGCCTTAACTCTCCTTGCCGGCGCTAAAAAGAGCTGTATTTTGGAAAGTGTTGGGGGTGAATAGAAGAACCCCCAAACAACTGATGTGTGTTAAAAACCCAATGAGGAACAATTGGTGATTTTTATGCAGAAACTAAATAATTCTTAATAAACAAATCTCTATTTTGGAATCACATCTGTGTGCTGTTTTGGTTCTTGAATCTTTTTCTTCCTGGATTAGAGGTTGTCGCTGGGGACCAGCCAAGGACCTGTTTTCTAGCTTTTGTGGTTTAAAAACAAATAGAACTGGTTGCCACATTGAGGAACTGGGGAAATTTCACATCAAAGTCTTGATTTCTAGCTTCCTTTGAAAACTCAGACTACCTAGCAGGACCTGAGAGATGGCTGCCACCTTAGCTGGACAGGATAAGTGGGCGGATGTGTTTCCCACTTTGCCTCAGTCCCCACCAGTCCCTGATGCATCCCCAACCCAGTGATCTGTTGTTATTTACACGTTGTTATGGGCTGATGCTTTTTCTGAGACTCGAGTTAAGTGTGGGTGCCATATTCATTTTACCTCATTTCTGCTCCCACAGAACTAACAGTCTAGTGGGCAGGATGGAGCAGTAAATTTAGAGTGGTCAGTGCCTGGAGGGAGTCTGGGGACACAGCTGAGTGGCCATGTCCTGGGACAGTGCATCTCAGGGAGTCAGGGCCCTGATGGAAGGCCGGGAGGCTGGCCGAGGAGACAGGGCAGGGGATACTTAAGGGCAAAGGCAAAGACCTGGTGGCTTGACTTAGAGCACGCTGTGTGTGTGTGTGTGTGTGTGTGTGTGTGTGTGTGTGTGTGTGTATGAGATATGCTATCAAGGGATTAGAACTTGACCTTGAAAATTATGGAACAGCTTCAAGGGTCTTGTGCACAACACAGTCAGATACCCAGTGTGGAAGGCTCCCTCTGTTATGACCAACAGATGGACATTTGAATTGTTCTTACTGTGTCTGATGCAATATGTTCTAATATTGCTAGCGATAGCAATACTACTGATCTTTCTAAGCTCCAGCTGCCCTGTAGGGTTTTTTCCCCTTTGGGTTTTATAGAAATATAAAATTATGCCAACAAATTAAAAGAATTCTTTTTTTCTTTTGTTTTATTTAGTTATTTTTCTTTTTAATTTCTTTTTTATTGATTATGCCATTACAGTTGTTCTATTCCCCCCTTCATTCCCCTCCACCCTACCCCCCGTCCCCACCATTACCCCCCCTTTAGTTTATGTCCATGTCTCTCAAGTTCTTTAGATTCTATATTTCCCATACTATTCTTGCCCCCCCCCATCAATTTTCTATCTACTGTCTATGCTACTTATTTTCTGTACCTTCTTCCCCCTTCTCCTCCCACTCCCCTGTTGCTAACCCTCCTTGAGATCTTCATTTCTATGGTTCCATTCCTGATCTACCTGTCCTTTTAGTTTGCTTTTGTTTTAGGTGTGGTTGTTAATAACTGTGAGTTTGCTGTCCTTTCACTGTTCATGTTTTTTTAACTTCTTTTTCTTAGATAAGTCCCTTTAACATTTCATATAATAAGGGCTTGGTGATGATGAACTCCTTGAATTTGATCTTAGAAGCACTTTATCTGTCCTTCCATTCTAAATGAAAGCTTTGCTGGATAGAGCAATCTTGGTTGTAGGTCTTTGGATTTCATGACTGGGAATACCTCTTTCCAGCCCCTTCTTGCCTGTAAGGTCTCTTTTGAGAAATCCGCTGGCAGTCTGATGGGGACTCCTTTGTAGGTAACTGTCCCCTTATCTCTTGCTGCTTCTAGGATTCTCTCCTTCATTTTAATCTTGGCTAATGTAATGATGATGTGCCTTGGTGTGTTTCTTCTTGGGTCCAACTTCTTTAGGACTCTCTGAGCTTCCTGGATTTCCTGGAAGTCTATTTCCTTTGCCAGAATGGGGAAATTCTCCTTTATTATTTGTTCAAATAAGTTTTCCACTGGTGGCTGTGCCTTTCCCCCTTCTGGTACCCCTATAATTCGGATGTTGGAGCGTTTAAAGATGTCCTGGAGGTTCCTAAGACTCTCCTCATTTCTTTGAATTCTTGCTTCTTGACTCTTTTCTGTTTGGCCATTATTTGCTTTCTTCTGGTCCACTCCCTTGATTTGAGTCCCAGTTTTCTTTTCATCGCTATTGGTTTCCTGTGCAATTCCATTCATTTCAATTAGTTTCGCCTTCATATGTTTGTCTAATTTGTGGCTATAATCAACCAGTTCTGTGAGGATCCTGATGACCAATGTTTTAAACTGTGGGTCTGAGAGTTTTGCTATTTCTTCATCGCTTAGATTTATAGGTTCTGGGGCTTTGAGATCTTGAGCCATTTTTGGTCTGTTCTCGCCCGTTAAGTATGAGTAGTGGAGCCTTGGACTCCCAGGTTGCTGGGTTGTGACGCTGTATGTGGGGGCGTGGTCAGAGCGGGGAAATGGCGACCTCCTCTGCTGTTTCGTGCCCTGGGTGAGGAGTAGAGCCTTAGGTGGTTCACCAGGGCGGGGCCACTCAGGTTGCCGGGTTATGACGCTGTATGTGGAGGCGGGGTCAGAGCAGGGAAATGGCGGCGCCCTGTGCTGCCGCTCCTGTGGGGCCTGCTCAGTCCTGTAGTCTCACCGCCCACTCCCTCGCTTTTCTATCCACACATGAATGCGTGACCACAGTCAACCCGCAGCCCTGCTCCCTCGCTGTTTCCCCGCGGTTGCTTGCTGAGTCGCTTACTAGGTCCAACCCTGCACCTCGGTTCCGCGCGCACCTGAGTCCGTCTGACCGAGTTTTTCTGTGTAACCCCGCTCGTGTCACCCCTGTTACTGGTCAGGCTGAAGAATTTGTTGTTATCAGACTTCCGAAAAGTTCAATTTTCTCTCTTCTGGCTGTGTTTTCTGTTGCTAAAATTCAGTTGTCTCTAAACTTGGTTGTGAGAGAAGGCACAATGTTTCCACCTATGCCTCCATCTTGGCAGAAGTCCAAATTAAAAGAATTCTGCGTCTTCCTTTAAAAAAGAACTTTTCTTCGGGTCTGTAACATTGATGTGACTGGGAAGGCAATTTCTTTGTGGAAGGTGGGTGTTTTTCCGGGACAGCCTCCTTCACTCCTTGGTACCTGCCAGGCCGCTGGGAGCACTGTGGATCCCCAGAGACAAAGCCAGCAGACATTTGTGCCTTCCCTATCTTATTCTTGCCAAAGTTCTGCCTGGGGCAGGGAGGAAGGAACACATTGAGTGCCGGCTGTATACCGGGCCCTGCACTTAATGCACCTCATTGCACAGCCACCCTGAGAGTTGGGCATCAGGAGCCCAGTGTATCAAAGGAGGAAACTGACCCCCCTCCCAAAGGCGGGGTGAGAGGACTCACCCGGGCGACCCAGCCAGGACGGAGGGGCACCAGGGTTTCACGTCTGGCTCCGTATCTCCCCTCAGCCATGCTCATGTCTGTTCCAGCACCCTTCCTGCCAAGGCAGCCTCACTGACCCAGGTGAGTCCAATCGTGCCCGGAAACTGAATAAGCCCCAAGGCATGACAAGGGTCAGCTCATTTACTGACTCGGTTTATTCAGTTAAACCTTACTTGCTGAGCAGTCGTTCAAAACGCTGTAATCATCTCTTTTATAAACAAGTGACTGAAGCTCACTCCACTGAAAAAAGGCTCAGTTTTCTTTTTTATGAATTGGGAGTCTTGCTAATAACACACTTTACAGGTTGTGAGGCTTAAATGTTACTACTTTCAAAAAAGATTTTATAGCCCTGGCTGGTGTAGCTCAGTGGATTGAGCTCGGGCCTGCGAACCACACAATTGCTGTTCGATTCCCAGTCAGGGCACGTGCCTGGGTTGCAGGCCAGTTCCCTGCAGGCCAGCTCCCAGCAGGGGCCGCAGGAAAGGCAACCATACATTGGAAAAAAAAGATTTTATTTTTAGACGGGAAAGGAGGAAGTAGGAGAGGGAGAGAAACATCAATGTATGGTTGCTTCTTGCGCACCCCCTACTGGGAACCCAACCTGCAACCCAGGCATGTGCCTTGACTGGGAATTCAACCCGCGGCCCCTTTGGTTCACAGCTAGTGCTCAATCCGCTGAGCTACAGCAGCCAGGGCAAATGTTACTATTTATAAAGCAATTAGAAATGTCTGAAGCATCCCATGTAGCCTTTGTAAGTGTTGAATGAAACTGCGCGGATATATTCGTGGGATGTGGGGTGCATGGCGACGTGACAAAGTACTGGAGTCCTGGCGCCGCTGCTGAAGAGCTGAGTGGCCCTGGACAAATCACTTCAGCTCTGATCCTCTTTCCTCATTTGTACAACGAGGATCCTAATAGTTCCTAGCTCACTGAGTCAGTGAGATTGCCTGGGCAGGCATGGACTGCAAGATCGTTCAGTGTCGCCTGACAGCCATCGTTCCCAGGGGCTGGGGAATAGGCGAATGGAGGGGAAACAGATCCGTGGGTTTGTGCGTTGGGTGATGAATTCCCCAGTTCCCTCTGCCCTGGCACGCTGACCGCCTGAAGCTCCCTCGGAGTCCAGTAGGTGGCGCTGCCGGCACTGTGCGGCGGCAGTGGCCGCGCAGCCTCTGCTGGTCCGCCCAGTATCCCGGGCCCCCTGCTGCTGTGCGTTACTCACTGGAAAGTGTTGGTGGTTTTCCAAGGGCTAAATGAGGAGTGCCGTCTGAGCACTGTTGGGGAAATTTGGAGCCTTTCAAACAGTTGCCGAGGACTTCTGACTTCAGGCCCACCTGTGTGTAAACAGCAAAGGTGTGTCCTAAGTTAGGATCCTTACCACCACCACCACCACCACGACCTCACACTTTTTAGATCCGAGTGCAGGTTCTCTAACCTTGTCACGGTGTGATCCAGGGCAGGTCACTTTGCCACTCTGAGCCTGTTTCCACATCCTTAAAAAGCGACAGGAACACTTCTACTTTGCAAGATTACATAAAATAACGTGTGTAAATCGCCTGACACGTAGACATTCAATAAATGGCTCTTAATAATATTTTCATTTATTGAGGCTACAACCTGCCGGGGCCCCTGAAGGGGCAACCCAGCCCCAGATATGGTTAAACCGTAGCATGCTCACTGACGGCTGCCCTTAAAGATACAGCAGGGCCCATGTCACCCACTGACAGGAGCACCCTGGGAAAGGTCGTGCATTCCTCCCT